CAAAACTACAATGAGACGCCCTCTTACCCAGGCTAAAATGGCACTGATTAAAAAAAAAAAAACATATGTTGGCCGTGATGTGGGGAGATTAGAACCTTTATCCATTGCTGGTGGAACTTTAAAATGGTGATTCTATTCTAGTTTTTTGAGAAAGCGCCATACGGTTTTCCATAGCTGTTGTAAAAAACAAACAAACAAAAGCCAGATAAACTGGAACAGTAGAGAACAGAGGACTCCCTGAGATTATCACTGAGACACTCTTTAAACCCAGAACCAAGCCCATCCCCTGAGATCACCTTCTAGCAAAATAGCACAGTGGCACACAAAATAAAGGCTATTACCTGTGAGATCGGTGCCCTACTTAAAAACCATCAGTATGAGACCAAAAGGTCAACAATTACCCAAAAGTAAAGATGAGAAGATAAGAGGGCAGGGAAACCAGAGTACTGGCAAGGGAACAAACAGAACACAATTAAAGAGAATGTTGACACGTTGTGATAAATGTAACTGTCACTGAACAATGGGTGAGGAAATTGTCAAATAGGAACCTAACTTGCTGTGTAAACTTTCACCAAAAACGCAATAAAATATTATTAAAAACAAAAAGGTTGGCGGTGGATCTGCAGAGGAGCCTGGCGCCCACAGTCTCCCTCACGGAAAGTGAAGTGGCTGGCCCTCTGAGGGTGCCCACGCTCCGTATTAGGGCTAGGGCCTCTCCCCCACATGGAGGGAGGCCATATCAAGTCCCCCCACTCTCCAGCAACCAGCCAGTTAAACGCCTGACCAGTATGGGGGCGGGAGCGGCTCCCGGCCGTCTGGTCCTGGAGTCTCAGGGCGCCGTTTATTTTTATGTTCCCTTTTTTAAGAGTTGCGAGTTTCACTAGCCTTTTTCTGATCAGCCAAGAGGGTCAGCGGCTGGCAGTGGGCGTGGCGGCGAGGCCTCTGGGCTGCAGGCAGTGGATGCGAGAGCAGGAAGCCAGAGAGCAGGGTCCTGAACCCCAAGTTCGGGTCGCCCGGGGACCCCCAACCATCAGGAGAGGGGACGGTTAAAGAGGTAGCTAAGCATCAACGCTTTTCTAGCGAAGCTCTTTTTTCCCACCAGAATGATTTCTAACCTTTTCGAACGGTTTTTGAAAGTCTTTTTTCCCCGCTTCTTCGAGAAATGCTTAATTTCCCTTTTCTCCTGCAAAGTCAGTGACGCTTTCAGAGCCGCCAATGCGGCGGCGCCATCTGGTGGCCGCTTTTTAAATTGCGGGGTTGGATCTGCTCTAGGTCCTTCCTCCCTCCAGATGACCCTGTGAAAAGAGAAAAAAGAAACGTTTCTAAAACATTCAGTACAATAAAAATGGCCAGTAAGCCTATTAAAAAAATGTTTATTCTAAATAATAATAAACAAGTGCACATTAAGCCATGGGTAACACTTTTTGCCTATCCCATTGGAAAATGGGTTTAAAATGGTAATAGAAAGTGTTGTGGAAGGTTTAAGGAAGTGAGCTTCTCTCATATTAGCTGGTGGCAGAAACGGTTAAGCGTTCATCTGCCAACCGAGAGGTTAGCAGTTTGAACCCACCCAGCCATTCTGTGGGAGAAGGACTGGGCTATCTCCCTCTGTAAGTATTACCACCAAGAAACCTTTAGGGGACAGTTCTACTGTCACATGTACTCTCTGTGAGTCGTAATCGACTTGATGGCCCTCAACAACAACGTATTAGCCAGAGAGAGAGAAATTATCTAACATGTTAATTAAAGTGTTCCTACCTTTTGATTCAGGAGCCCTTGTGGTGCAGTGGTTAAGAGCTCGGCTGCTAACCAAAAGGTCGACAGTTGGAATAAAATACTTCGAGAGACAGAGTAGCAGGGATGCGGGGTCTGGGGACTATGCTTTCAGGGGACATCTATGTCAATTGGCGTAACAAACCTTATTAAGAAAACGTTCTGCATCCTACTTTGGTGAGTGGCGTCTGGGGTCTTAAAAGCTTCCAAGTAGCCATCTAAGATGCATCAGTTGGTCCCAACCACTTGGAGTAAAGGAGAACGAAGAACACCAAAGACACAAGGACAGTATTGGCTCAAGAGACAGAAAGGGCCACATAAACCAGAGACTTCATCAGCCTGAGACCAGAAGAACTAGATGGTGCCTTGCTACCACCAATGA